GAGGTGCACTGCTCATCCGTAGTTGCCAGCCCAGGAGCTGAGCTAATTTGAAATTGGTAAAGGATGGGCCCAGTGGCATGGCCTAGTGGCTAAGGTCCTCACCTTGAACCACTGGGATCCCATATGGGCACCAGTTCTAGTCCCAGCAGCTCCACTTCCCATCCAGTTCCCTGCTTGTGGCCTGGGAAAGCAGTTGAGGACGGCCCAGTGCTTTGGGATCCTGCACCCATGTGGGAGACCTGGAGGAAGTTCCTGGCTCCTGGCTTTGGATCGGCACAGCACCGGCTGTTACATTCACTTGGGGAGTGAATCATTGGATGGAAGATCTTCCTCTCTGTCTCTCCTCCTCTTTGTATATCTGACTTTGTTATAAAAATAAAATCTTAAAGAAATCGGTAAAGGCTGCAGAGTCACTTCCCAGCTGCTGGGCCCGTGTCACGTGCTCTGTGGTTGCACGTAGCTGGGAGCTGGACAGTTCCATGGGACATCTCAGGTGGTAGTCAGCCCTGGAGCCCAAGCACTTGGAACAGCCTCTGCTGCTTTCCCAGGCACATCAGCAGGAAGCTGGATCAGAAGTGGAGCGGCTCATGTGGGATGCTGCTGTGCACGGAAGTGACCCTTTGCACACAGTGCCGGCCTCGCCTTGTTCCTTCCAGCATTCCCCGGTGATGGCAGACACTGATGGCAGCTCACAGCACCTGCTCAGGCCCACTGTCCTGTGAATGACCAGCACTTCCAGGGCCTGCAAGTTTTCATTTGCTCTTAAGTTATTTACTGGAGCAGGCCAAAGCCAGAACTTCCACCTGCATCTCCCATGTGGGTGGCCGGCACCCCACTGCTGCCTCCAAGGGTATACACTGGCAGGAAACTGGATTGAGAGCAAAGCAGGAAGCTGAACCCTGACTCTTGGTAAGGGATGGGGGAATCTAAACAGAAATGAGCCCAACATCCACCCTGTAAAACAAGTGTGGCAAAAAGAACATCAGATTTGCCATATTAGCCATTTAAAGTTATTTATTTGAGAGAAAGAGAACTCCTTTTTACGAGTTTGCTCACCAGATGCCTTCAGCCATGTGGTGGGAGGGGCGGGACATCTGCCACTGTCCGTCGCTGCTGCTTTCCAAGCTCAAGCTTCATACCCACTACCCCGCAGGTCTGCCTTCTAGCCCTGTGCCCGAGTGTGCTTTTTGTGCCACGTGCAAGTATCACATCCAGTGGCTGCTCTACACTCAGACTCAAGGCCAAATCCTGTTTGCTGCACCCTGAGAGACACAGTACATAGCCACCCTCTGGGCAAGGCCACTCTCAGCCGTCGCCCATCCCACTCATCTCCTCCCTGCCTCCCTCCCTCTGCCTGCACCTCCACAGCCCAGCTCCAGGGGCTGCCAGAGTCAGGGGACGCCATCAAAGCCGGCCCTCCGTGGCTCGGTCCCGAGGCTCACAGCCAGGCTTCCCTGGGGGTCTCAAGCCGGCTGTTCCCTGGAACCCTCCTTCCTGTGCACAGCCCAGGCCCCTGGCCTCTCCCCTGCTCTGCACAGCACACACCACACTCCTCTTAATCCTCCCTAGGGAGAGTTGCCAGTCTGAGAACGGGTATCACTCCTGTCTTGCTCGTCATTGTCTCTCTAGGACCTGAGCCACACAGATGCTGGCAAACATCTGTCCTTGAGCACTTTGGTGGTTATGCTTGCTCCGTGCAGTGGCCTGCCCATGCGCTGTGAGCCGCATACTCTGGGCCGCTGCTAGTCCTGCGCCAGCACAAGGCGGCTCTCCTGCAGTCCCAGAGCTCGCCACATGGGGGAAGCATCCACCCAGGTAAGCTTTACTAGCCACACTGTGGCGCAAAAGCCTTGGGTGGGTGGGTTGGTAGGGCTGGCAAATCCGACCTCCACTGGCCCCATTTGCCAGGTGGGCAAACTGGCACATCAGAGAGGAAGAGTGGCAGGGAGAACCTTGGATGCAGAGAATCTGAGTCTGGCTCCTTTTCCAGTCCTCACCTTCTCTGGACCTGTATTTTTTGGGGCTAAAAGGTCTGGTTTGCCTCCAGGCACCAGGGAGAGGCAGCAATGTGGGGAACTGCAGCCTTGGGGGATCCTGGGACAGTCACCCCCATTTTACAGGTCAGTGACTGAGGCCTGGGATCTGCACGGGTTGGGGGAGACACAGAGCACAGCAGGAACAGCGCCCATTAACCATCGGATGCCTTGTCCGTCAGCCCTACCCACTGGCTGACTCCATGCTACCAAGGGAGGCGTGATGGTTCCCTCCCCACCTCATACTTTTCTCCTGAGCTCGAGCTGCAGACGGCAGGGAGAGGAGGAGGAACACCGATGGCACCTGGGGGGGCACAGGAAGCCAGGCCACAGGACACCTGCTCCTCACAGCCGCCACCTGACTCTGGCCACCCCAGCACAGCCGTGTGGACCCAGGCCACGGCTTTGGCGGGTCACTAGAGGATCTGGAAGCTTGAGTCCTGATGTGGAAACACCTGAGTTTTAAATGCTGACAAATGAGCCACCTAAGTTATAAACCTCCCTGGACCGGGCAGGTCCCTGTGGGTTGAGGCGAATGCTAGAGCTGGCTGTGACTGCTGGGGTGAACCCCCTCCCAGCCCCTGGTGCTGCCTCACCCACCACCTGCAGGACTCAGGCGCCCTCTGGCCTTGGGATTGCTGTGGCTCAGCCAGCCACCCCCTTCCTCCTGGGGAAGGGCCGAGGACTCCCGTGGGACGGTGGCAGGGCCTGTTGAGCAAGCAGCGGTTGGGCACATAGGAACCAGGAAGACTGGGCTGGCCCATGTCAGAGGGGGCAGGGCCCGAGGTCCCTGAGCTGCTCCTGCTGGGGTCCGGGCCATTCCCTGACTTGCTTAGGGCCTCGGCTTTTCCACCCAGAGAGTGGGGTTCCTGTGGCCAGACCCGACAGTTTATTAAAAGTACAACCATGAAGCTCAGCCCCACCTGGCCATTTCCTGGCTGAGCCTCAATTTTCTCATCTGTGAAGTGGGGACCCCAACACGACTGGCCCCTTTAGGTTTTCAGCAGAAACAAGTGAGTTTCTAGGCTACAGGGTGTCCAGAGAAGGGAGCAGCTGCCCTGAGCAAACAGATGTCTAGGCGGTGGCAGGACCCCCAGGTCTTGCTGCAAGGTGGGGTGGGGGGCTGAGGCCCAGAAAGCGGGGTTACTCTGAGGTTACACAGCCCAGCTAACTGGCCTTATCTTCTGAACTCACCCTCTTCCTTCACCATTCACTGAGCGCCTGGCGACAACCGTGAAATCCTTGATCCAGGGGTGGGTGGGTGGCACAGGGAGGGGCAGTGAGGACTGACAGAAGGGCAGACGGATGAGAACCGGGAGGAAATGGAACTGGGTGTGTGTGTGTGAAAGGAGTAACCGAGGGCCTTGGGCCTCCCTCAAGGGGAAGTCAGGAGGGCTTCTCAGAGGAGGTGACCGCTGGTTTGCTGTGGACAGAGGTGGGGGTGGTGGGAGGGTGGGGCAGTGCTCAGGGGCAGTTGGGCCCAGGCTAGCTGGGACTGGAAATATGAAGCACACAGGGCCGTGAGGGCTGTGGAGGCTTAGAGACCTGGCTGGGCTGGAAGTTCCCTAGCCGGTGAGACTGGGAGGGCTCCTGGGAGGTGGTGGCTTCTCCCACCAGGCTTAGTGCACCCCACTGTGCAGCTTGGCAGGCCTGACTGGGAAGCCCAGGGGACGTGGCCACACCCGTCTGGGCACCCCCCCCCCCCCCGAAAACTGCAGGGAAGGCCAGTGGCCGATCCCAGCCAGCCCTGCCCCCTTCCCCCAAGGGCGCAGGGGACTGTCATCTCTCCAGCTCTTGGGGGCGGAGGTCACCCCAGCTCAGCAGATAACACTGAGGTTGAGCAACGGCTGCCAGGCGGCGGGGGCCAGGGCCAGGGTTAGTGGGCCGGGGGTGAGCCTCGGGCAGGCACGAGCTTGGCTGCCACCAGGGCTGTCTGGGTAGGTAGCGGCCCCCGCGCTTTCCCTTTGGGGGGAATGGAATGGAGCCAGGGACCCCTGGTGAGTCTCCTCAGCGGGGGGGACAAGGTCCCCATGGCGGCAGGCCTGTGTTCCAGCCCCAGATGGGCAGTGTTGGTTTCCCTGGCCACAAGAGGGGCAGTCACAGCATTTTCGGGCATAGGGGAGAGCCAGGCCAGGGCCCACCTGCAGCCACAGCAGGGACCCTGGAAAAAGTGGGGTCCTGTTTGATGCCCTCCGTGGGCAGTCTCAGAAGCAGAAGGCTTTCTGACTTTGGGGTTGGCAGATAGGTCCTGGGGGTTAGGCACGAGGACCATTCCCTGCAAATGGGGGAGGGGGAGACACGAGACCCGGAACCCATAGGCCCTCCACTTGTGCCCCTGTGAGGGTCCCTTGCTGTCCGACAGGGAGTGCAGAGCCTTCTGTTTGGAGATGTGTGCAGGGGCCGAGGTCCTCACCGGCGGTCCCGACAGCCCGAGACAGGGGTGGTGCTCCCAAGGTCAGCGTGGCAGGAGCTGGGCGGCTACCGCCCGTCCCAGGGGCCCCCGCTCGGGTGGGGTAGGGCAGAAGCCCCAGGTGTGGTCTAAGTGGGCGGGCAGGTGCCAGGGGCGGGGCGCCACAGGCCGGGGTAGGGCTCCCTCCGAGGACACCCCTCCTCCCGACTCTTCAAGTCCACGGTGGCTTGAAGTGAGTTGTCTCCACGGGCGTGGGATCCGCGCCTTCCGAAGGATGGGGACCTGGTGGAGGGGGGAGCGCAGCGTGTGGAGCTTGGGGCGGGGCCGCGGCCGAGGAGGGGCCGGGGAGGCCAGGGTCGGTCCTCGGCCAGGCGTCCAGGCTGGGCCCTCCCGACTCGGCCGCCTCCTCCTCCAGCAGGGGGCGGGCCGCGGCCGTGTTTGGGGTTGGGGGGGGGAAGGCAATCGAGTCGCCCCCTCCCCGGCTTCCCTCCCCTTCCCGGGCAGCCTCCAGCCCAGAGGGGGCGGTCCGGGGGCGGGGTCGTACCTCCCCCTCTCGCTCCCAATCCCGGGGCCGCGGAGTGGGGGTGGGCATGGGGAGGGGAGTGTGAGAGCAGCACCCACCCCTCGACCCTCTCCCTCGGCCCGGGGACCCCAGCCCAGGGCGCGGTCAGTTGGCACGGGGCCGGCACTCCGCACCCCGCAGCCGCCTTGCCAGGGGTCCCGGGCGGCCGCGGCCGTCGCGCGTTCCGGCGGCGGCGGGAGGGGCCGGGGCGGCCCCCAGCGTGACGCAGCCGCCGTTGCCATGGGTCGCCTTATAAATAACCGGGCTCGGGAGAAACTTTAGAGAGTCAGAGCCGCGCACGGGACCGGGAAGGGGAACCATCGGAGGGTCCAGTCGCCAGCCCCCGCACTTCCAGCGGCCACGCCGGCAGCAGCAGCGGCGGCAGCAGCGGCAGCGGCGGGGACCCGGCGGCCACAGCTCGGAGCCGGGAGGCCTCGCCACCTGCGGGCCGGCCGCAGCGGGCAGCCCCAGGCCCCCCTCCCCGGGCACCCGCGTTCATGCAACGCCTGGTGGCCTGGGACCCAGCATGTCTCCCGCTGCCGCCGCCGCCTGCCTTTAAATCCATGGAAGTGGCCAACTTCTACTACGAGGCGGACTGCTTGGCTGCTGCGTACGGCGGCAAGGCGGCCCCCGCGGCGCCCCCCGCGGCCAGAGCCGGGCCGCGCCCCCCCGCCGGCGAGCTGGGTAGCATCGGCGACCACGAGCGTGCCATCGACTTCAGCCCCTACCTGGAGCCGCTGGGCGCGCCGCAGGCCCCGGCGCCGGCCACGGCCACGGACACCTTCGAGGCGGCTCCGCCCGCGCCCGCCCCCGCGCCCGCCTCCTCCGGGCAGCACCACGACTTCCTCTCCGACCTCTTCTCCGACGACTACGGGGGCAAGAACTGCAAGAAGGCGACCGAGTACGGCTACGTGAGCCTGGGGCGCCTGGGAGCCGCCAAGGGCGCGCTGCACCCCGGCTGCTTCGCGCCCCTGCACCCGCCGCCTCCGCCTCCGCCGCCGCCGCCTCCCGCCGAGCTCAAGGCGGAGCCGGGCTTCGAGCCCGCGGACTGCAAGCGGAAGGAGGAGGCCGGAGCGCCGGGCGGCGGCGCCGCAGGCATGGCGGCTGGCTTCCCGTACGCGCTGCGCGCCTACCTCGGCTACCAGGCGGTGCCGAGCGGCAGCAGCGGGAGCCTCTCCACGTCCTCCTCGTCCAGCCCGCCCGGCACGCCGAGCCCCGCCGACGCCAAGGCGCCCCCGACCGCCTGCTACCCGGGGGCCGCGCCGGCGCCCTCGCAGGTCAAGAGCAAGGCCAAGAAGGCGGTGGACAAGCACAGCGACGAGTACAAGATCCGGCGCGAGCGCAATAACATCGCCGTGCGCAAGAGCCGCGACAAGGCCAAGATGCGCAACCTGGAGACGCAGCACAAGGTCTTGGAGCTCACGGCCGAGAACGAGCGGCTCCAGAAGAAGGTGGAGCAGCTGTCGCGCGAGCTCAGCACCCTGCGGAACTTGTTCAAGCAGCTGCCCGAGCCCCTGCTCGCTTCCTCCGGCCACTGCTAGCACGGCCGGCCCGCGGGCGCGGCCCCCCTGCCGGCCGGGGGCTCCGCGCTGCCGGGCGCGCGCCGAGACTCCGGGGAGCACCCTCGCTCGGGACCCTGGGAGCCCGAGACCCCCGCCGCCCCGGTCCTCGTGGCGCCGGCCAGACTTTGGCACAAGGGCGCTTGGCAGCACGGGGAGCCCTCGGTCACTTTGCTATTTTCTGATCGATCTAGCTCTGTTTTCGCCCACCCCAAGCACACAGGCGGAGGGGGGCGGCCGCCCGTGCTGGTGTTTGAAGAAGACGCGTCCGTGTGTACAGATGAATGATAAACTCTTGCCTCTGCCCCCCTCTCCCGGGCGCCGGCGGGCGGGCCGGTTTCGAAGTTGATGCAATCGGGTTAAACATGGCTGAAGGCGTGTGTACACGGGACTGACGCAACCCACGTGTAACTGTCAGCCGGGCCCTGAGTAATCACCCAGAGATGTTCCTACGCGGCTGTTGCTGTTGCTGTTGTGTTTTTTTTTTTTTTTTGGTCTTTTTTTTTGTATTATAAAAACAAATAATCTATTTCTATGAGAAAAGAGGCGTCTGTATATTTTGGGAATCTTTTTCCGTTTCGAGCATTAAGTAAGAATACTTTTAATAAACTTTTTTTTTTTTTGAGAATGGTTACCGAGCCTTTTGGGGGCAGTAGTTGGCTTTTGGGTTTTGTTTTCCCTTTTCTCGTGGAGTTACAGGGTTTTGCCTTAGCCTTTCTGGTGTGTAGGGGTTGTGTGTTGTGTGTGTGGGGGAAGCGTGATTATTTTTGGAGTCTTTGGTGGTGGCTGGGGGTGTCGTAGCTGGCTTTTTGCCTCCTTTGCTGTTCCCCGTCTGGAGATGGGGTGCCTTCTCTGGGGTGAAGAGTGTTGGCTGGAGCTTTGAGGGGTGACGCGGTGCCCTGCTTCCCTGTGTCTGGCTGCAGCTGGGAACTCTGCTTGGGGACAGGACTGGAGGGTCAGGCAAGGGTTTGGCAGGCCTGTGGCCCCCTTGCCCTTTGTCTGGGGGACCTGACAGGCAGGCCAGCCTTGGGCTGGTGGGAGGAGGGAAAATGGGTTGGATTGGGGAGAAGGGTGTCCCCATTTTTTCTCTGCTGGCTGTGCCTGAGGGACTAGTCATTCACCTGCCTGCTCCAGGTGGCTGAGCCTGGACTTGAACCTGGGCCTTCTCTTGTGTGCTCCGTGGCCCCTCTGCATCCTCCTGCCCCCCCCCCCGGTTCCCTCCCCCCCCCCCCCGCACTCCCCACCAACTCCGAATCTTAACAACATTCCTGAGAGTTGAGGCTGCGGATGCAGGGCCTGGTGGATCCACGCAAGTGGTGTCACTCGGTGCCTGGCACACTCCAGGGGTTATATAAGCGTGGCTCCTGTGCTTTTTTTCTGCTGGGAGGCTCCTGGCATTGGGTGCCCCCGACTTTGGTGCAGTGCAAGTGTGGCAGGCACTTGCCAGGGGCCAGTGTCTGGTAATTCCTGGCCCTGCCCCATTGGGTGTAAGCCTCACACCCATCTTTGGGAGCCCAGCGACTAGGATGGCGCTTGTTTTTAGCTCCCTGGGGCAGCTTCTGGCCCTCAGATCCTCCATGGGTTCTGGAAACTGATTTAGGGTCAATTTTCTCCGAGGGACTGAAGGGTAGCTAGCCCTGGAGGTGGGCTTGCTGCTGCTGCTGCTGCTGCTGGTATGCCTGGAGATGGGGAATGCTCTGGGAACCTGTGTGTGCTTTCCCATTCGGAGCCCTGGATACATGCAGGATGGAGTTGGTGGTGACCCTGGACACCTCACCGTACAGCTGAGATGTCTCCTGGGGGTGGCGGCGAGAGGCTGGGCACGTGACTGGCTGCAGATAACCTCTCATCATTGTTGGCCTGTGCCTGCAGCAAAGTCCCGATCAGGTCTCCTGACCCAGCCTGGGGGCCTGGCCTGGACCAGCAGGTGACCCCATCTTTCTAGGTGTGATGTCACCAAGTGGATTCCATCCGTGCCAGCTTCCCTTTGCCACAGACAGGGTGGCTGAGGGCTGATGTTCCCCTGATTGTGGGGGATGCAAAGGAGAAGGGCACAGCCGGCCAGGGGGGACCCCCGGTACCACTGCTCCCTGCGTGTTTGCGTCTCCCTGCCAAGTGTACGTTTCTCAGGAAGACAGCGATGCATGCCGGGGTGCGGCTGGTGGAGCTGGGACAGAGTTGGACTGGACAACTGCTCAACCTCCTTACCCCCAAATCCTCAGCCCTTCCCATGGGGTTCCTGGCCTGGGAACACACGCACACATACACAAAGTCAGTTAGGGAGCACCAGAAAGGGGGCTCAGACCCAACCCATGTGAGTGCCAACGGGGGACTGGCAAACATCCCTCCCCAGCTGAGGACCTTGACCGTGGTCTCTGTGGCCTCCCTGTGGGACACCCAGCCCAAGGCTTACTGGCCCCTGAGTGCCACGGGCTTGTAGGGAAGAAAGAACAGGCTGTTCACACCTCTGGAAGCAGTGAATGGGCTGGGGTGAGAACAGGAGGGTGCCCAGGAGGCCATGGGCACAAGAAGGTGCTTCCTGAGTGCCCAGCAACAAGCCAAGCCCTTGGCACTGTCGCTGGTTCTGTGTTCCTGGCAAGCCTTGTTGCAGAAGCTGCAGACCCTTCAGTGGTTGTGGCCCCGAGGCCAGCCCTGGACACAGCAGGTTCACGCCTCAGCATCTCCAGCTGCAGTTCCACAGCCTGGTGATTTTCCACCCAACAGCAGGGGGATTGGGAGCAGAAATACAGGGGCTGGGCCCTGGGCTGTGGCTCTCCTTGTGGCTTCAATGGGTCCTGCTATCCCTGGGTTCCTGTCCAGGCCTGCCTCACCCTGTCTTGTTCCCGTCTCTGAAACGGTGCTTTGCCTGGGTTTTCATTTGATAAAACTTTTGTGAGCACCTGCTGTGTGCTCTGGGTGCTGGGGACCACAGTGCATGGACAGACAAGACAATATGTGGAGATGACGGGGGTTCTGGAGGGAAGGAGGAAAGTGGATGGGAGGTGGCTCCTGAAGGGGCCAGTGTGGCATTGGGTCACTCCCTGTGCCCTGTCACTGTCCTGCATGCTCTGCGTGTCCTTTACCTGCTCAAAAACCCAGCAACGTGAGTGTGATTTCCCACTGCCCATACCCTTATGGGGAAACTGAGGCAGAGAAGCACAGCTGCTGCCAAAGGGCTGGTGAGTGGCCAGTGGCTATTTCCTCCCCACAACCTGGATGGCTCGCAACAGTGGCCCCACGGCAGCGACTGCCGTCAGCCGCAGAGCCCCCGCACCCCGTGGCCATGGCCACGTGCAGGGCCGTGACGGAGGCTGGGACTGGCTAAACCCAGCTGGAGCGGCCTGGGGAAGCCAGGGGCTTTCCAGGGCTCTCGGCTGACAGCGTTTGATCTCCTCCTGGTGTCCTCCGAGCCCAGAAGATAGGAGTCCCATTTGACGGAGGGGGCCCTTGAGGCCCTCAGAGGGGCCCCTTGGGCTTGCAGAGCAGCTAGGCTGGGGTTTGAATCAAGAACTTTCTGTGTGCCTGGCTCAGCTGTGATCCTTCTTGCCTGCCCATGCTACGGGGCAAGCAGACGGCAAGTCCCCAACCCCAGGCCTTTGAGGCCACGACAAGCTCCGAGCTTTGCCTCTTGCTTGCTGGGAGACCTCAGGAAAGGTGCTTGGCCTCTCTGGGCCTCAGCTTCCTCCCCCAGGGACAAAGTGTGCCTTCACCCAGGATCAGGCAAGCACCCACTGCAGGCCCAAGGGCGTCCCTCTGTCCCTCGGAGCTGACATCCTTATGTGGGAAACAATGAGCTACAGCTAACCAATGGGCAAGTACAGTTTGGCATCTGATAAAGACCATGAAGACCACGGGGGTGGGGTGTGTGTGAAAGGGTGGAAGTAGCCATTGCAAAGGCCCTGGGACAGGACCAGGCTTGGCATGAGAGGAGGGGGTTGGGAGGCACCGTGGCTGAAGCTCTGATCTTGGGGGAGGAAGACAGAGGTGTGTGTGTGTGTGTGGGCGGGGGGGTGCTTCATGCAGGGTTTGGGGAATGGGGCGAGGGTGGAAGAGGTTGTTTTGAGGATGAGTGAGTGTCTTTGCCAGGGCCTCGCACCCAGCAAGTCCTGAACGAGTCTGTTGACAGAATGAAGCAGGAGGCCCAGTGCAGTGGGTGAAGGGTTCAGGGAGCTTGCCCACTGGGCCCAGGGGGACCGTGTGGATGCCGAGCCTCTGACCCAGGGCCTGGAGCCATGGGCAAGATGGAGGAGAAGGGCTGGCAGGGAACAGGGAGAGTTAAGGCGGAAAGCCAAAGGAGGGAGAGTTCCCCAGAAGCTCAGTGCAGGGGAGAGGGCGCCCCGTGTGCCAGCTTCCCCGTGGCCGCTGGAGCAGAGCCGGGGGGCACCTGGGGACTGGGGGTGGATGCAGGGGACTGGACCCCCAGAGGGTGTGTGTTTTTTCTAGGTGCTGGGAGGGTTGGAATGTCCATCAAAGAAAGTGCTAGAAAGCGTCAACCCTGCCGTGCGGTCGTGACCAACTGACTTCCCTCTCTCTGCCTCTGTTTGTTTGTCTGTGGAACGGGACAATGAGAACACCTGCTTCACAAACTTGCTGCTAGAGCGGTACCCGCACATGGCACTGTTTGTGTCATCGCTCCAATTTGGGGAGCCCAGGCTGCTGGCTCCCCGGTTCCAAGCCCAGCGTTCCCCACTGATGTACGGTCTGGGGCCAGCACAGGCATCCTCTGGGCCTTGGCAGGAGAGTTGGAAGAGACCCAACCGTGGTGTGTCAACATGAGCTGGCTCAACTGCAACTGCAGGGCCAATGGTTGCTAAGTCTCTTCCAGAATGCCCCATCTCACCTGTATCACAGCAAATGTGGCTGCTTTTAACTGAGGGACCCCCCTCTATCACGGGGTGGGGCAAATAGTCAGCAAAGAGACCATGTCTCCCAGGATCTCTTGCAGCTAAATACCACCCAGGAGGTGGACAGGGCAGTGGTAGGTGGGGCTTCCGGAAAGCTCTGTGGAGAGGGCTGACTCAGCACTGAGGCACATTCCTTCTTTGCCTTTCTTCTCCATTACCCCCCATCGGCTGCTGCTTCCTACTTCCTGCCTGGAACTCAGAGGCAGTGGCTGGAGCTTTAGGGACAATCTTGCAGCGTGAGGCAAAGGCTGATGAGGTGAGTTTGTTGCACACTACAGGAGGCAAAAACAAAAGACGGAAGGCTCCTGATGACAGTGCCATGGCCACGTCTGTCCACGCTTGTCAACAGAAAAGGAGACTCACTAGGTCTCGTCATTTCAGTTTCCTTGTTGCTGGCAGCTGTGCCTGTTTCTAACTGAGGCATCTGCTAATACAGTGTCCACTCGTACAGGCTGCCTGCTGCCCTGCATTCCTCGGTGCTGCCCTAATGCCTCCTGCTCTGAGTGTGTGCCTCCGACCTGGCCACACACACTCAGCTTAGGGGACAGCCTGTCTGCTTAGAGGTGTGGGAGGATTTCTTTAATTTCCCTTTCCTCCAGAAGGCGGGCATGACGGCCCCTGCCAGTCTTCCCGTGCCGTCCCTAGGGCTTCATGTGCTTCAGGTCTGGCTCGATCCAGGTCCTTGGAATGACCAGCTGACCTACGTTGGGATCCTGCTCTTGCCTGGCACCGCCCCCCCCCCCCAATAGCATCTACCCAAGGTCCTGGTTTTGTATACAGAAAGGGGCAGGCTCTGCCGCAGCTCAGGGTGTGTCAGCAGGCAGCTGGGCTGAGCCCCGTGCCACCCCAAATGACCCTTCTGCCCTATGCTGTCACCACTACCACCTGCTGCACCAGGGCCTTGGCCTGCCAGGGCATGGGGGCATCTTTTGCCAGGCTGTCTTTTGCCAACCCAGTGAAACTCTTTGCGAGGTGAGTCCAGAGGCTGGGAGCCAGGCAGGGTGAGCTTGTATTTTTATAACTGTCATCAGATCCCTGTCCCAGCCCAGGAGCTCTGGCAGGGGCAGAGGTGGCCCAAGAGGAAGAAGCTTCATGGAGGACCCGGTGGGCAGGGGTCAGCAGGTTGCAGCAAGGGCCACCTGGGTGGGAGCCACTGCAGCCTGGCCTGCCCCATTTGAGCCAGGCCTTTGTCCTCTTGTGTTCCAGGGAGCCAGTCAGGCAGTTTTGCCACACTGACCCTTGGGGGGTGGCAGTGGGTACACAGTAGCAACATGCTCCTGCCTTTACCTAGGACTGGGTGCCCATCGGACTGTGCGTCTGTCCAGGTTCTCAGCGTGTGGCTGTTGTCGGTCCTCCCAAGGCTCACTTAGGTTTATTTTCCCCACCTTGTCCCCGCTCCTACCCTGCGTCTCCCACTGCTCGCAGTCACCAGCCCAGTGAGCTGATTTCTGTCCTCATAGATGTGCTATGTTATTTTGTGCCTGGATTTATTACAGTGAAACAGATACATGCGTACCAGAAAGTGTGCCAGACATGGCATGCGTGCAGCTGCATGAATTCCTCTGGCTGGGACCTCCCCATGTCCAGCCAGAGAATGGAATCAGGCCAGCAGCCCTGACTAGCCAATCCCCATCTCCCCACCCCAAACCCCTGCCAGCACAGAGGTGACCATGACCCTGGTGGCTGACAGCGACACTGGCTTTGAGAATCAATTGTTAATCTGTTGCCTTCTACCACATTGTATATACTCCCCCAGAGTACATATCTAGTACTTTGATATCTGGTTCCTATACACAGGAATCCTTTCCCCCAGGTTTCCAACGTAGCCATCAAAGTTGGGACATGAGCAGGGTTCACAGCTAGTGTCTACTGAGAATGGCCAGGTTGACCAGATACCTGACAACATCCAGGCAAGGGCTGGTTTGCAATGACAGGTGGTATTTGGTCGCCCACTCTCCCTGGTCTCCTTCAAACTTGGCATTCTCCACCTCCCCATCTCGTCTTGGTTTTCATGCCCTCAGTCCATTGGAGGACACAGGCCAGCTGCTTTGTGGCAGCTGGGAGTTCATCTGCTGTTTTCTTGCTTGAAGTTCAAGTTGGCATTTCCAGGAGGAAAACCACAGGAGGAGTACTGAGTTCTGGTCCTGCTGCTGGTGGCATACACCTTAGGTCTCATTTCAGAGGCAGAGGTGATGGACTGATTGATGGATAGATGGTGATATAAGATAGACAGAAGGATACACATACAGGCAGGAGGCAGGCAGAAAGAGAGAGAGAGAGGTTTTCTATCTATCGTTTCACTCTTGCAATGCCTGCAAAGGCCAGCGATGGCCCAGGCTCAAGCCGGAGCCGGAAGTTTTCGGGCATGGTGAGGCACTCCGGGCTCCCTCAGTGTTCCCCAGTGAGGAGAGGGTGGGTTTTGGCAGCCAAGGTCTCAGGCCCAAACGGGCTGCCCCTGCCCCTGGGCCTTCTGTGTGTGTGCAACTCAGGAGTGTGTGTGGGAAATTGAGTTTCATCACGATGTTAAAAGCATTTAACTCCACGTGTGGCTTTTTTCATAATATGCATTTCTCATGCACCTTCCGCCCACCCGCCCGGATGTACAACTAAACTCAGATCTGCCTTTCTAGCTTTGTATCTCTGTGTGTTGTCTAGCTAGGAAACTGCCAGCTTGTGCCCATCACTGCAGTTCCATCCCAGCAGCCAAGGGTCCCCTCCAGAAGCAGCAGCCTCAGAGAGCGCAGGCAGTTCTG